TGATTTGACAAGGAACTCTTTGCAAGCTAATACAGGTCAACGTTAAGAGAATAGAAAGAGAAGCTATGGTCTTCCTGAAGGCTTTGTAGTAACTTTCAATTTATATTGTGTTGCTTATGGTCTTGTTACTCATTTTTAAGTTGAGTTCAGTGGTGATTCCTAATCTCTTAATGATAGATAGATAGATAGATAGATAGATAGATAGATAGATAGATAGATAAAATTATTCATAATTAATTAATGATATTTTAGGAAACTATAACCTCCATGAGATTTTATTTATCCCTATTACATTCTTCTACTCTTTTCCCATGTCCTCTCTTATACTTGATATTTTCTTCAAAGTGTTCAATACATGAAAACGGAAAACTGTTCATTAAAAAAAAATATCAGATCCTTGATTGATTATGAATTGCTGAGAAGGAAAGCGATATGTGCGACATTAACTACAACCCTTACTTAGATATAAATATTGTACTGCTTAGGCCATGAAAGCTAATGGAGATGTGTTTTCCCTGAGTTAAAAAAAAAGGGGGGGTGCTTTGTAGTCGATAAAAGCATCCCAATTTGTATGAAATTACTTATTGCAAAAGTTAACTCTCTTTCTTCTAATGTACTGTTGTCATCAGGGCTAGCTCTGTTGTTAGACAGAAAGAGATGGCTACATTATTCACAGAGGAGCACAGTATAGACAGACTCACACCTGCCTTTTGACCTTATATCCCCACCTCTCTCTCTCTCTCTTTTAAATTATATTTATTGAAAACGTTCATATAATAATAACAAATCAAACAACAACAACAAATGTGCAAGAAAGGTTAAGAAACATATAGATGACTTCTGACCTTCTTTTCGACAGATAATTACAAACTTGTTGTCCCTCCTTAAATAATTTACAAATCCCTTCACCCCCTCATTTAGTCTTCATCTTAGTCTTCAAATCCATAAATCATTTTTTCTCCTTTCAGTAAAAAGTCCATATAAGGCTTCTGGTCTTCCAAAAAAGATGTTGTTGTTTGTTCACTGACCAAATAGTTCAGTTTTGCCATTTCTGCAAATTCTGACAAGTTTCACAATCCATTCCTCCACTGTGAGAAGTTTATTATTCTTCCATCATTGTGCGTACAATAATCTTGCTGCAGTTACCATGTACAGTATCAATTTACCATGATCTTTTTTATAATTCATTATCCGTGAGTCCCAATGAGAAAAGTTCTGGTTTCTTAGCAATATTAATTGTTAAAATCCTTTGCATCATTATATGAATTTTTACCCAGAATTTCTCAGCTTTCTCACAAGTCCACCATGTCTTCTCATGCTTTTCACATTTCCAGCACTGTTTTGAAATACTTTTATACATTTTTGATAAGCCCAATTTGTCATGCAATCTTTAATCTCCCCACCACTCTTTCAAGCTACCCCGTTCTAATCTTACATTGTTGCTACTGCTGGGTTTTGAGTCTATCAGTTTATCTGGTTTTTGCATGTGGAATCAGTGATGGGACAGCCTTCTCTCCTTTGCCTCAAGGAGCAAGGTATTTGGGTCTAGCTATTGTTTGGATGGTTGGAGAAACCTGATGGAGTTCAAGGTACTGTATGTAAACAGGGAGCAAACCCCACACTCACTGGCACTGATGAGATTACCTAGTTGGGTCATGAAAGGTCCACAAGCAACAAGCAAGCTCCGAGAGCACCAAGAACTCCACAGTTCAACCCTGAGCTACAGACATTCTCTTCTGCTATTGAAACTTGAGGGACTTTACTGTATTTCCTGTAATTTGCTTTCTATAAAAAACTCTTCTGTGAAATTTATTTTACTGTAAGTGGTTATGTATATGAAATGAAGTCAAATGTTCCCTGTAGAGACTGTAGAAGTCTTTGGGAAAGGAGACTACAGTATATAACCCTACATCTTTACTGTATATGGGCTCATATTTTATAGTTTAGAATATTTATCATAATTAGAATTGTATATAGTCCATAGATTATGAAGTTAGAGTTCAGCTTCTCTTAAGTCAGTTTACTACATTCTGATCTAAAATCCCTATCTCAAGTTATCTTTTATCAGAGTTTCAAAAATCAAGATAGCAAGCCCATAAACTATAGAAAGTTTAATTTAGCTATAGGCAATACTTAGACGTGCTTTGCAGAATGCATGACTTGTTCTCATTGCTCCCATAATTTTTGTAGATCTTAGTAAAAAAAAAACTACAATTTGCGCTTGTAAATAAGTTGCTCTGCTGTAAATTTGGGTTCAGTTTGATTGAGAAGTATCTGGCATAATTATGATTAAGATCTTTTCACTAAATGTAATGAGTTGTAGAGTAAATGTTGATAGGTCAATCTTCATAGATTGGGAGCTTCAGCCTCAAACTGCTTCAATTTGGACTGATTACAAATGTTTGCTCTTATTAAGGAACCAGTAAACAGTGAAGGAGTATGGATGGGGACAAAGGGACTTAGTAAAAATAGTTAAAAACCTTCTGCTTTTCTTAGAACATTTCTAGGAAGCTTTATACAATGTATACTTTTAGGAGATTCATTGCTGTTCAGTTCACCTGCAAGAGAAATACCTTATTATATGATGAAGGAATGTTCCTGACTAATGTTATTCTGTGGTATGACTAAATCAGAATTACAAGTGACAAAGAACATCAGGCTTCAGATGTCTAAGAAAGCCTTTTGTCAAGTTCCTTATTGCCAAACCAAAAGGAGTCAGCAGACTCCCTTCCTGGTGTCACTACATGCTTCAAAAAAGATTCAAGAGATGTTTTGGAATTCTGCTGTTCATTAAGGCAACCACATCTTTCCTGTAGGCCCCTGTGGAAGCCTGTAAAAAGATGTGGCTATGTTAACGAGTAGCAGAAAAGTGTTGAATTCATGATCACATGAACTCTGACGCACTTCTTCTGAATTGTTTATGGAGTGTGCGCAGCCCTATTGTTATATAAATTCCCATGTAATTCCTTCTCCTTGGCTGCTACTGGGGAGAAATATACATCATGAGAACTTTAATATGTTGCACCGCAACTTATAAAAGAAGAAACATGGCCCAGAACTGGCAAATCATAGCTTGAATTTCAAAGTTTTCTTTGTTTCAAATGAATCTTAAGATGAAGTATAGGGCTGATATTGTGGGAGAAGCAAGCCCAAAGTCATGACGGTAATCCAGTAGTAGCACTGTAATTCTTTAAAATGTGGGTTAGATTTCTAAAAATGCTTTTAATCGAAAGACACCCTAGTAATTTGAAAAAGGCATTCCTGATATGAAAAGCATGTATGGAAATTTGGAGCCAATTTATTCAGTCTACATTCTATGTTTTAAACCCAATCATTTGTATTGTAATAGGATGGAGTGAAAAGATGTGAATAAATGATTAAGGATGAAATGATTGTCAACAAGCAATAGATCCCCGTTCTTCCCTGAAATGGTCTGTTCTTTTAAACTACAACCTTATGTGTGTTATCTGAAAGTATTACCTGTATTAATTCGACCTAACTTTCAGAAACATATGTATAGGATTGCAAATTTATCTGTGTGCCACAGTCCCCCTGTCAAATGTGAATACAGGACTGCACTAGTGAAACTGTGGTGAGATTAACTGCTGCTGTGAAACTGTGCTTTAAATAGTGTTTTAAAATATACATTAATCCTAGATGTAATTATTCACTGTAATTCTATTTCTGTTGTGTTTCTTCTTTATCTTCAGCATCCCCTTGGGTGGACAAGAGTCGAACCCAGAACAAGATAGATCTGTATGACGTCCGTAGAAGACCGTGGTAAGTCACACTTGCATATTTACGGAGTTTGACTTTTCTTGTTTTCTCCTTTCCCTCCTTGTCTTTAAATTAGTAGAATCCAAGTAATTTCATGTTTTCTTTCCTTCAGCATTAAGTGGGAGAGCTTCTGTCACAAAAGGTTTTCACTTTAACATGCTCATTTGCAAGCCTGTGTGGCACAAAGCAATAGGACAATTGGCTGTAAGATATGCATGGTGTTTAGCTTGGTTGTGTTTAAGAATTACCTTTTTTTTCAGTCCTTGGAGGTTTCAGACACACGGTTCAGAAGAAGAGGATAGATACTGATATATAAAAGGTCCAGAAGGAAGGTTTCAGTGAACCTGAAGACTTGTACTAAAATCACACAAGTCTGCACACTCACTCACATGTCTGATTTTTATTTTGTAGTTTGGACAAATGCTGCCCCAGGCAGGTTAACCTTTATATTTACTTAATCCTCTATTTATAAAATCATCACCAGGCCACCTTTAATAAGAAGCATTTTTAAAAATGCTCACTTCTTATACTGGAAAGATAGAAGCCTCCAGGAAGTTGTGTATAGAAGTGAACATTTATTTCCTTCAAAATTATTTTCAGATATGTATCCATGAGCTTGCTGTTATCTTTCCTGTATCCAAATCCACCAAAGTCCACCAAAATCTGCCAAGGTGTATATGTTATAAAAAATTTGCCCTATTTGGTTAGCTGGCTTTCAAATTCTGAAAGGCAGTTTGAGAACCCAGTTTTCTGCAAGCAGTTTGAGTACGTTAAAAATCACAGTGAACAGTTTGAGCAAGAATTACTATATGCAATAAAATAAAAACTTTAATTAAAATATCAAATAAACTAATCAAAGCAGCCACCAGAATTAACTAAATGTGATTTGGGAGTGCCTCTTAGCACCTCTGTGTTTTCAGATTTCTTAATTAAAGGAGGAGTGGGTTGCTTTGAAGTTTGGAAAATGGAGCTGTGGGAGAAAAGGGTGGCAGTTT